AGAAGTAAGAGATTGGGGTTCTCTATTACTTATCATTTTATGGCCAGACTTATCTCTTAAACATAAGGCTTCCCGATAAGTACCATTAAAGGCTTGACAGCAGCATTTTAAAAGGTATACCTTTTCTTCAACTTGATAAATGATGGGTATGCAAAACCTGCAGTTAACATCATACCTAATGGTAAAAGGCTGAATGCTTTCTTTTTCTCTAAGATTGGGAACAAGAAAAGGGTACCTCCCCTTACCACTTACCAGTCTTATTCAGTATTGTCCAGGAAATTCTAGCCAAGGCAACTAGACAAGAAAATGCATCTAGATTGGAAAGGAAGAAGTAAAACTATCTCTTTTTGCAGACGTGCTCATGTAAATAGAAAATCCTAAGGAAGCCATTAAAAACAATTTAAGGCCGGGTACAGTGGCTCATACCTGTAATCCCAGCACTTTGGGAGGCCGAGGCAGGTTGATTACGAGGTCAGGAGTTCAAGACTAGCCTGGCCAACATGGTGAAACCCTGTCTCAACTAAAAATACAAAAATTAGCTGAGCATGGTGGTGGGTGCCTGTAATCCCAGCTACTCAGGAGGCTGAGGCAGGAGAATCACTTGAACCCAGGAGGCAGAGGTTGCTGTGAGCTGAGATCATGCCACTGCACTCCAGCCTGGGCAACAAGAGCAAAACTTTGTCTCAAAAAAAAAAAAAGAACAATGTACAAAAATGAATTGTATTTCTATACATTAGCAATAAGCAGACTAAATGTGAAATTAACACAATTCCATTTATTATATCATCAAAAAGAATAAAATGGAAGACTAACTATATATCCATCACAATTCCTATTTTAAATCCTAGCTGACTTATTTTCAAAAATTACAAGTTGATCCTATAATTCATATGAAAATGCAAGGAACCCAGAATAGCTAAAACAATCTTAAAATAAAGAACAAAGGACTCATATTTCCCATTTACAAAACTACAGTAATCACAGTAGCATAAAAATGTCCATGTAGTAAAATAATAAAGAATGTGCATGTAGATCAATTGAAACAAATTGAAAGTCCAGAAATCGACCTTCATTTTATGATCAGTTCATTTTTGACAATTCTGAGACAATTCAATGGGGGAAAGAATAGTCTTTTCAACAAATGGTGCAAACATTTGGATATCCACATGTAAAAGGATGAAGTTTGGACTCCATGCTGTGGTCTGTTTCTGTCCTTCTAAAAATTCATATGTTGAAACCTAATCACCAGTGCTATCGTGATTTTCAGTCACCAAATTTGCCAGCACCTTAATCTTGGACTTCTCAGCCTCCAGAACTATGAGAAATAAATTTATGTTGTTTATAAATTACCCAGTTTATGGTATTTTGTTTATAGCAGCCTGAATCGACTAACATACACTATATACAAAAATCAACTAAAAATGGATTAATGACCTAAATGTAAGAGCTGGGGAGGAAGATATGGAAGATGGCAAGAAGAAAAGTTGTATGGACCAGGCCAGGAAGGGGCACATATAACTCCTACTCACATTTCACTGGCTGTGGAAGTAAGCCATGTAGCTATCAGGAGACCATATGGGAAGACCCACTGGGAAGCTGGGAAATGTAGTCCAGCTCTGTGCCCAGAATGAAGAGGAGATGATTTAGGTGAATAGATAGCCATCTCTGCTACAAGGAGGTTGCCACTGGTTATTCCTATGGACCTCTACATTCTGAAATTCTGTTCTATATTAGCTCTCCCTCATTAAGCCCTACAGTTACAAGAACTAAAAAGAAGCAAGACCAATAACACTTCTTTTCCTTGGACATAAGGAAAAGATAAAGTTAGCCAGCAAAGTTAACTTTACAGCAATCTTGCTTGCAAAAAATATGCCCCGTGATCTTGTAACCTACCTGTGTATCAGTATGATCCTGCCCTGAGACCGTGATGATCTCTGCTGATCTCTGGCCTGCCCCCGTATGAGTGAAGAGATAAGGATGGTTCTCGTTCTTGATAGAGGCTAGTTAGATGAAGCTTTTGAAACTGAGTGAACGCTACCTTATAGGAGGACAAACAAGCAAACAAGTAATGGCTCAGAATGAAACCAAATGTATGAATTAGGTTCCATGAAAGATCCCCTGGAATAGATATCAGAAAGTTGGACAGTGCCCCATTGCAACCAGAGGATTCTTCCCTCAGTGGCAGGATCACAAGAATAAATTTCCTTGTCCATCTTAGTTAGAGTACCTTGAGGGCATCTGTTTTGTGAGTTGATATATATTCTCAATTGAAAAAGTAGTTTACTCCAGCTGTGAGTTTGTAATCTAATTGTACGTAATGTGCTCTGTGGAGATGATTACAGAGACTGATGGAAGAGCTAAAGAGAAACAGAATACAAGGGATGCTATAAACAAGGCACAATGCTGTTAATTTTTAAGAAACTGCATTCCGCAATGTCTTGAGGGATCTTGCCCAGATAGGATAGGATCCTGAGCTTCTGTATTATTCCCCTCACTCTGCAGCATACATGTGTTTAAAATTCATGCCTTTATTTTGAGTTCTATACTTAAGCTAACTGTTGCATTTTTTTCCTAAAACAATCACAGAAAGACTATAAACCGGTGCTGGATGAAGTATTTTTTTACCAGCCCACCACGAGATAAGCACAGAAATGGAAGGTATTTAGAAACTTCTAAGGCAGTTTGATACATTGCAGTATTTAAGCACACGATCAGTGGGCTTATCTTGTTAAACAAGGTATAAACCAGTTAGGGTAGTGCTCAATTTGTATGATGATCTGCATGAGATGCAAGCTCATTTTTGTCACATGTAGTATGCATTAGCTTGTACAATAAAACAGACTGGGTAACTTAACAGAAAATCCAAGCAAGGTACCAACAAGGTAGGTTCTATTCTGAGACCTTTTTTCCTAGCTTTTAGATGGCCACCATCTTGCTGTATTCTAATATAGCCAATTCTTTGTGTGTGCACAAAGAGAATGAGTATGCGAGCTCGCTGGTATCTCTTCTTGTAAGGATGGTAGGCCTGTCATATCATGGCCCCATCCTTAGGACCCCATTCAACTTTAATTACCTCTGTAAGCCCTGTCTCCAAATACAGCCATGTGGGGAGTTACAGCTTTAACATATGAATTTGCTGAGGGCAGCAGGACATTTGGTCTATAGGATAGTAGGACCATAATGGACTGGGAATTTAAAAATTGGTCCTTTACCACAGACAGTTCAAGCAGTACTCGAGGTATGATTAAGGTAAAACAGCTGGATATTACCAGTTTTAAAACTAGAAGAAATTTGCTTTAGGTTACAAATGTTTTAATATTTATCAAATTTATATAATCTTGTCATTTAATAAAATTGTTTTGTGTAAAACATTGAATCTTTAGAAGAGATTAGATTATAAAAACTGGATTGGACACTGAAAAAAAATGTACTGATTCGTTAATTCCTACAGAGGCCTTGGCTTAATCTTGATATAATTACAACATAATAGCTGTTCTTATAGCATAGCTGTCCTGCCTGTGCAGCTGACTCATCAATCTGTGCCTTTCCCCGCTGGCTCTGGCCTTCTGGCTTCCTGAAAACATGTTCATGGCCATTCCATAAATACCACTATCCCGGCCATTCAGAAGAAGGCACGGCACCTCCCTGGAGCCCTACCCCTGTGCTTCCTTCTCTGTGTTTTATAATCTCAACAAATAGGAATGTTATTTTCATGGTTACGCACATTACAACCATGGAACATTTTCAGTTTTGCTCTTTTCCTTTGGAGATCTCTTTTCTCTCCCACCTGCTAATTCTGCCTCCAGAATGCCTGCTCCCTCAATATCCTCCTTTCTAAGGTGTTGTCAGCCTTGCACCAGCCTACTGTTACCATGTCTTATTTGGAGTATTTCAGTAAGCACCTCCCCACTATCCTTCAACTTCTTTCTCTCCAGTCTAATATTGTGAAGCACGGTTCTGACTATATCACTTACGAGCTGAAAAAGCCTTTGCTGGTTTCCTTTTCTTACAAAATAAAGTCCAGCCTCCTTAACAAGAGATTTAAGGTCCTCTGTAATCTACCTCTTATCTATCTTTCCTCCCTGCTCTTCCTTCACTCTATCCTTTCAACATGCATACTATATTATAGACATAGCTATGTTTTACATTTTCCTGCTTTTATGTCTTTGCCTGGAGTTTTCTTTAGCCTGGAATTTTCTTCCATCCAAATTCTGCTCTTCAGAGGACCCCTTGTTCTTCAAAGTCTAGTTCAGATATCACCTTTCCCACAGTTTTCCTTAGTCTCTCTGTTTAGCATTAATGATTAATTAATATGCTCCCATAACATATTGAAGTGTCATCCCTTCCTTTACTAGAGAGTGTATTCACTCTCTCCTAGTTGATCAGTTTTTTGAGAGCAGGATCCATGATGTATTCAGAGTTGGCATTACCCCTGTCCCAGGTCACAGTACTGAGCATGTGGTTGATGCTCAGTTGGAGTGTTGCTAATGTAAGGCTGTGATCCATATGTGGAAGAAGAGCATAGGAAACTCAGATCATGAAGAGAATGATAATGCCTCTCTACATCTTTTTGAGAACCAGGAGAGCAGAAGAGGCAACTTTGCATGTCCCCTTGATGCTGCTCAGAAGGCAGGAGTAGATCCCATAGATTACTCTTCATTGTACTTCCTGAGAAGATAGGGGATATTCAGTAGTCAGAAGGAAACCTTGTCCCAGGCTGAGGTATTTACAGCTTATGGTTTTAGAAAAGTGGCAAGTTCTTAGCAATATAAAGCAAAGACATTCTCTTGATTGTGTCCATTGATTCTAGGGCTAGGTTGCAACTCATCAGCTGTGTTTTTATTTTCTCTATCACCAGTAATGTTACCTTTACTATTCTTGATATTGGCAATTTGTATCTTTTCTTCTTCCTCATCAGTCTGGCTAGAAGTTTATTGTATTTCTCTAGGTTCTCCAGAAAAACAGAACCAATAGATTATATAAAATGAAATTTATTTTAGGGAATTGGTTCATGCAGTTATGGAAGCTAAGCCCCAACCCAGGATCCACTTGGCAAGCCAGAGACCCAGGAGAGCCAATGGTGTCATTCCATGCCTAGTCTGAAGGCCTGAGAACCAGGAGAGCCCATGAGGTGAGTGCTGGCGTACCCAAAGGCAGGAGAAGACAGGTCAAGAGAATTCTTTCTTACCCAGCCTTTTATTCTATTCAGGCCTTCAGTAGATTGGATGAGGCCCATCCACTTTGAGGGAGGTATCTGCTTTATTCATCTGTGGATTCAAATATTAATTTTATCCAGAAACACCCTTATAGACACAGCCAGAAATAATGTTTAATCAATTATCCTGGCGCCCATGGCCCAGTCAGGTTGACATATAAAATTAACCATCACATTTATAGATCTTCTTAAAAAATGAATGAAACTTTGGATTTTGTTGATTTTCTGTACTGTTTTACTATTCTCTATTTATTTGCTTTCTGCTCCATTCCTTATTGTTTCTTTTCTTTTATTTGCTTTTGGTTTTCTAGTTCCTGAAGATGGAAGCTGAGATAAAATTTCCTGCTACATAGTGTTTTAGTGCATCTCACATATTCTGGCAAGTGTTTTCATTTTTGCTTAGTGCAAAATACTTTCTCATTCTTAATTTCTTCTTTGACCCATGTGTTATTTAGAAGTATGTAAGTTTCCAGATAATTGGGATTTTCCAAAGATCTTTTTGCTACTGATTTCTAATTTAATTACATTGTAATCAGAGAAAACATTTTGCTGAGTTAAGTCTCAGACAAAATTATTTAAATTTATTTTTAAATAAATTAAAAAATTTATTGAGACTTATTTAATATCCAATAATATGATCTGTCTTGGCAAATGTTCATGTGCATCTGAAAAGAATGTGTATTCTGGTATTGTTGAGTAGAATGTTCCATAAATGACAATTAGGTCAAGGTGGCTGATAGTTTTGTTCAAACTTTCTGTATCCTTACTGATTTTTTTTGTCTACTTTTTCTATTTTTGAGAACAGTATTGAAATTTTCCATTATAATTGTTGTTTTCTCTGTTTCTCCTTGCAGTTCTATCACTTTTTCTTAACCTCTGTCATTTGGTGTATAATTGTTTCATGGCCTTCATGAATTGATCTGTTTATGATATAATCTCTTTATCCCTGGTATAATATTCTTTGCTTTGAAATCTACTTTGTCTGATACTAAGTCAGCTTTCTGTTGATTTATTTTACATCCTTTTACTTTGGACCTATTTGTGTCTGTATACTTCAAGTATGTTTCCTTTTGACAACATATCATTAGGTCTTGTATATTTATCCAATCTGACAAGCTCAACCTTTTTAACTGGGGAGTTATGGCATTTATATTTAATCTGATTATTGATATGATTAGATTTAAATGTATCATATTGCTGTGTGTTTTCTATTTTTTCTGTTTTTGTTTGCTATTTTTATTTTGTTTGCTATTATTTATAATTATAATAATATAATTATAAATAATAAAAGCAAACTAAAAATAGCAAGCAAAAACATTATAAAAGCAAACTAAAAATAGCAAGCAAAAACAGAAAAACAACAAGCACATCTATGTTATTTATGTTACAAATAATAGCAAACAAAATAGTAATATTAATATTAAATATTTAAAAATAGGTAATAATACATAAGTTTTTTTATTTATTTGCCTCATCTGTCATTTGTTCCCTTTTCTTCCTTCTTTTATTAAACTCATAGAATGTGTGTGTGTATGTCTGCATGTGAGTGAAATTCAATATTTTTCCTTTTTTGATTATTAGCTACAACTTTTTGTTTTGTTATTTTAGTGGTTACTTTAGGGTTTATAGTATGCATCTTTATTTTATCACAGTTTACCCTCAAGATATTATACCACTTCACATACAACATAGTATAAGAACCATATAATAGTTTACTTCCATTTTTCTCCTCCTTCCTAATTATTTCCCAGTATTGAGTCAAGACCCTCCCTTCCAAGCACTCTTTCTTGTGACCTTAAGTTAGGTTTTCTAGTCTGGCTGGTAGGAACAGACACTATTCTCAGTCCTCTGTCAATAGAGCTCTGTTTCTTCCAGTCTGGTCTAATGTTTCTTTCCCAAACCTCAGATAGTTTCCTCACATACATGTGCTGGTAGACCTCTACTGAAAATTTGGGGAAGACCCATCTGCCCATCCTCTGAGCTATCTGTTTCTATGCAGCGCTTTCTCCTTTAGTTTTCCTGCAAACAGCTGGTGCCATCTTGTCCCTGGATTCTCATCATGACTCAGGAAGTCTGCTGTGCTCAGCCTGACCTTTTCTCCCCGCACTGTGGCCTGGAGACTTTCTTGAGGCAGTAAGTTGGAGCTGCTATAGGCTCACACTGTTTTCCATCAAGAACCACAGTCTCTCACTGCCCGATGTCCAATGTCTTGAAGGTGTTAGTTTATGAAGTTTGTCTCATTTTTTGGTTGTTTCAGGTAGAAGGGTTACTTCATCTTGGTGGAAGTGGTCTGTTAAGATATTTCTAATAAGAATGTGGTATTTGTAAGTGTGTAAGAAGAATGAAAATAACATTTTTTTTCAATTTCTATAATTAGTGATTCCATCTTTATAGTTGCTAAGGCCAGAAACCTCGGAGTCATCCTTGACTCATCTCTCTGCAACCTCTAGTCCAAAATTCATGTTCATACCACTGCAAAATATAATATGTCCAGAATCTGACAATTCATGACCTCTGCTGCTAGCGGTGTGGGGGGCAAATTACTGAGCCTCTCTGTGCCTCAGTTCTTGATTTTGCAAAATAATGCCTAATAATAGTACCACTTCATAATATTGTTATGAAGTGTTAATAAGTCATTATTTTAAAAGTGCACAGAACCGTGTACAGTATGCATTAAGAATTTTATGAGTGTTTGGGCTGGGCATCATGGCTCATGCCTGTAATCCCAGTACTTTGGGAGGCTGAGGTGGGTGAATCAACTGAGGTTGGGAGTTCGAGACCAGCTTGACCAACATGGAGAAACTCTGTCTCTACTGAAAAAAAAAAAAAAAAATAGCTGGGCATGGTGGCACATGTCTGTAATCCCAGCTACTCAGGAGGCTGAGGCAGGAGAATTACTTGAACCTGGGGAAGCAGAGGTTGCAGTGAGCCAAAATCGCACCAGTGCACTCTAACCTGGGCAACAAGAGCAAAACTCCGTCTCAAGAGAAGAATTATGAGTGTTTATTCAGTGACAAAGGCAGAACTGGGATTCTCTTTCAATGTCTGACTGGCTCCTGAGACATAGCTCTCTCATGTTATCTCTGCTTTTCTTCTGTGCCTAGAGTTGTGGTCAGTGCTGGAAAATACAAAATGGTGAGAGAGTGGACACCTTCCCAGAAGACACTTGCTAGTTGGGTGACAGGAGCTAAATATGATAGAATCATGCTTTGATATAGTGAGAGATCATGGGCTGCAGCCTACCCTTCTGGTACTAGTCCTAGTAAAAGTCCGCACATCTGGACCTCCCACCCTTCTCCACACTCCCACCCCAGCTTATAGCCTGGGCTGTCCGAAACCACAGCGGGGAGCTTGTGACCTCCTGGGTTTAGATGACAAGACTCTGCTGCTTTATAATTTGGCCCTAGTACCACGGACCTCATTGTCTTGTGTGTGTACTGCTCAGGAAAACACTTTGGAGCAAGGCAACTCTGACAGCTGCTAGGATATGGTGCTCTGACCCCACAAGCATGGATTTCATCTTACAATGGAGAGCCCCTATGTGCTTTGTGAGTGGTTTCTGAATTCATACAAACATTTTCTCCCTCTAGAGAAGCTTATAGTTTTATGTTCTTGTCAGACTACGGACATGACCCTCTCTGATCCTCTTGGGTAGCAGGCCCAGGTCAGGCTGTATATCCGAAAACTAAAAATGGGGTACTAAGGTGGGAGCTACGAGGAATGAAGGGCGATGACTAACAGACATAAGCAGAGAAACAAATGAATGGGCTCTGCCTGAGTCTGTTTATCCACAATCATGATTTACATGTGAACAAAGATGCTTAAGTTTATTTTATAAAAGATTATTTTCAGTCAGAGATGGGGATTTGATGTTAGACGTTAATTTAATATGGAAGAGTTTATGCAGACTCTACTCTAGAGCTAAATAGAATTAGAAATGTCAGCCTAGAGCTAGAACATTGCTAAAACATTTTTCTGAGATTTTGCAGATACTGTCAAGTCAATAACTAAATTGATATATGGACTATATTTTGTGAATTTAAAAAAAAATCTAATTTGTGTTACTAGAGCAGCAATGAAAAAGCTAAAACAACCATAATGTATAAATATATTATGTCAGAAATACAATAATACTTTTTATTTTGTGCATGTTGCCGTCCATTATTTTATTGGCATTAACTCCTTTTGCATTAACTAACTTAAAACTATTGTCTTTAAAAACAACATCATAAAGAGCATGAAATTCTGAATGTTACTTATAAAAATTCACTAATTGGGCACATTATACTATCTTGCTTATTAACAATTTTAATTAAACTATGAATTGGGATAAGAATTAGGTAGTTAATTTTTGACACCTTGAGAACAGTATGATTGTACTAAAACTAAATATATTGCATCCTACTATTTTAAAAGATAATCTTTTTTTCAACTGTAGCTGGAGATATGAATAGCATACGGAATGTAAACTCCGGCTGACTCAGTAAGAGGACTGTTAGAGAGTTTCTGTATAAATTTGATGGGTTTAATTAAGCATCACTTGAACCAAACACATTTTTTGGCTCTGCAAGCTCACTCACTTCTTTGTACACAGCGGTATATTCAGTTAGGTCCCAGGGATGTGGGAGAAGGTGCCATAATGTCTAGAGGATTTTTTAAAATTTAAATGTGTATTGAGATAATTGGAGATTCATATGCAGTGGTAAGAAATAATACACAGAGGGCTGGGCGCAGTGGCTCATGCTTGTAATCTTAGTACTTTGGGAGGCTGAGGTGGGTGGATCACAAGGTCAGGAGTTCAAGACCAACCTGGTCAATATGATGAAACCCCATCTCTACTAAAAATACAAAAATTAGCCAGGCGTGGTGGCAAGCACCTGTAGTCCCAGCTACTTGGGAGGCTGAGGCAGGAGAATCGCTTGAACCTGAGAGATGAAGGTTGCAGTCAGCCAAAATTGAGCCACTGCACTCCAGCCTGGGTGACAGAGTGAGACTCCATTTAAAAAAAAAGAAAGAAAGAAATAATACACGGAGATCTTGTGTACCCATGACTTAGTTTCCTGGATGGTAATATTTTGTAGAACTATAGGACTGTGTCACAACCAGTATATTTACAGTGCTACAATCCACTGATCTTATTCATATCTCCCCAGTTGTACTTTGTACTTGTACTTGTTAGTGTGTATTTGTGTTCTTTTTTTTTTTTTTTGAGACGGAGTTTTGCTCTTGTCACCCAGGCTGGAGTACAATGGCACAATCTCAGCTCACTGCAACCTCTGCTTTCTGAGTTCAAGTGATTCTCCTGCCTCAGCCTCCCCAGTAGGTGGGAGTATAGGCACGTGTCACCAGGCCCAGCTAATTTTTTTGTATTTTTATTAGAGACAGGGTTTGACCATGTTGGCCAGGCTGGTCTCGAACTCCTGACCTCAGATGATCCACCTGCCTTGCCCTCCCAAAGTGTTGGGATTACAGGTGCGAACCACCATGCCCAGCCTTGTGTTTAGTTCTTTATAGTTTTGTCACATGTATAGGTTTATGTATCCACCACCATCATCAAAATACAGGACTGTTCCATTACTGTAGGACCTCTCACTCCAATTCCTTACCCTTGATGACCATCAAAATCTGTTCTCCATCTTCAAAAATTTTGTCTCTCAAAAATGTTATATAAATGAAATCATACAGTATATAACCTTCTGGGGTTGACTTTTTTGTTCAGCACAATTCCCTGGAGATTCATTCAATATATGTGTATATCAATAGCTTATTTCTTTTTATTGCTGATTATTATTATGTATATATATATGTGTGTGTGTATTTGTGTATATACAAATACACACAGACACACACACACACACATATATATATATACTTTTTTTGTTGTTTAAACATTCACTCACTGAAGAACATCTGGTCTGATTCCTATTTTTGGCTATTACAAATAAAGCTGCTATGAATATTTTAGTACTGGTTTTTGTATTAACATAAGTTTTTCTTCCTCTGGGATTAATGTTTAAAGGTAACACTGCTGGGTTGAATGGTAATTGCATGTTGAATTTTATAAGAAACTGCCAAACGATTTTCCAGATTGGACTTACCATTTTGTATTCCCACTAGCAATGTGTGAGTGATCTGGTCTCCCCACATCCTTGCCATAATTTGGTGCTATCACTAATTTTTATTTTAGCCATTCTGATGGGTGTGTAATGATATTGCATTGTAGTTTTAATTCGTATTTTCCTGATGGCTAATGTTGCTGAACAACTTTTCAAGTGCTTATTTGCCATTGCTAAATCCTCTTCAGTGAAATGTCTGTTTATGTTTTTGCCCATTTTCTAACTGAATTTTTTTAGTCGTTTTAAAAATTATTTATGTATCCTAAGTAGTACTTCTCTGTTGGATATGTGGTTTGCAAATACTTTTTCCCAGTCTGTAGCTTCACATAAGCTTTGAAAAGTTTTTAATTTCAATGAGGTCTCTTCATGACTTTTTAATGTTTGGTCTTTTTTGACAAATAGGGATAAGTACCTTCCATAGAATTAGAGCATTTTTCTGTTTTGATTATTTTTATTCCTTTTTATTCTCTACCTTCTTCTCCTTGACTTCTACTCTCTTTAGCAACATAAACTTTTTCTTGATTGTGAAAAATATTGTAAAGTATTAAAATTGCACCTTATTTCAGTGTTCTTAATGTTCTTTAATAAGGAACTTTGTTTTTCTCTTGCCTTTTGCAAACATCCAGAACACTTCCTTTTTGTTTGATCACATTTTTTTGCAAGCATTTGTCGGCAATTGTTTATATTCTCCAACAGTTACATGTTAACTATACAATCTTCCCCTTTCTTCAAAACCGGACCCATATGCAGATGGCATTTCATTTTTATCATAGTTAACAGTGACAGAATAGCCCCCTAGAACCCATAGAGAAAAATCTCTGAGTTTGTATATTTATTTTCTCCGGTTATGAAAA